TCTATTTAATTCAATCTCAAAAACATATACTGAATATTGTTTTACATTTAATCAATTGAAATAATTCTCATTATCCTTAATCCTTTATCATAGAGGATTAAGTAAGGTGATCATTGCTTGCTCTACTTTTTGCAAACTCATACTAAGAATTTGTTCCATAGAAAACAAATTTTCAAGTGCTACTTACGTATGCAAACTCATTATCATGATAATATATTATTGGCCTTAAGTTTAGAAAGAAAAATCTTTTCTCCAGAAAATTCCCACAATTATATGAATAAAGAATCTTCTTTTCAATAATTTCTCATCAGGTTTTACAGTTATATATCCAAATTAATAATCTATAAAATTGGCCAGATTTAAGGCAGAGTACATAATTTAAAATTGTAACATGTGAATCAAGAATTGTTGTTTGTCATACAAAATCAAATCAAATCGTTAATGTTGGGATGACTAATGTGAAGTGTTAACTTGAATCACTTTCTAAGCGAAATCAAATTGTGCGATAAATGATCATAATAGATGTAGTCAACATGGGGTAAGAGAGAAAGAGAATACTGTAATTACAAATCAGAAATTACGAAATATGTAAAATAATATGAATTAGGTCAGATATAGTGGATACTGAATCAATTCCTCAAAAAGGTTATCAAGTGTAATAATAATAATAATAATAATAATAATAATGATAGTAACAATGGTAAAGATAATAATAATAATAATAATAATAATAATAATAATAATAAGTTTGGGACAAAATTACGTCACCATATTACTGAATTGATTAATAACTAGTTGGCCAGGGAAAAGGAGTGGCTGAACATACTTTTTGATCCGAATAGCAATTGCTTCAGCCGTTTGTAGGATTCGCAGTCTGACGGAGTCAGGTAGACTGCTGTTAACACGATAGATTATTGCAAAAGATTTCTCGATGTTGGCTGTATGTTCTGTTCGAACTAGATGGTCTAAGATGGAGTTGTTAAAAATCTTTTCAAATAGATGGACTACCTTCCCTTAGATGTGACTGTTAAGTTTAGAACCTATTATTGTTAAAAATAAAACCTTGTAAGTTTCGTGTTATGGTCAAATATATCAAAAATATCTTATACATTTATTTGTGTATTATAACGATACTCCAATACGTCCACTATCGGAGTTTTAAGCGATTAAACTAAGCAAATAAATCTATCATTTACGAATGCGAAATAACTTTTTGGATGATGATATCCGTCTATTTTCTTCAAGACTTCACTGAAGTATGAAAATATTTTCAAAATTTAATTTTCACTTATTAAATTCACTGACTATTGTGTACAATTTGTAAGTAAAAAAATATTTTGGTTACGAAATTGATTTCTTTCATCATGGTGAAGTTAGTTACCGTTACATATGATGTGTCAAACCCTTAATGTTCTATTTTAATGAAATAAATAGCTGATGATAATGGAAATCAATCTGTATAGTTTGGTGTGGAATAAAAGTGTAAAACTTTAGCTCAATAGCGTATTGATCACTCAGGAATCTATGGTAAACAAAATGAACCGTCTATTCAACTTCAGAAACTAAACTTAACTGAATAATAAGTATACACATCTGCTATTTAATAAATGTGATTTCCCACATATAAGCAAATTAAATATGTTTTTTACTATCAATAAAGGCATATTTTTGAGCTAGACAATTGAGAATTTCTTAATAAATAATAAGTTATCCCTGGTACATTTTGTTACTGAATATCTACAACATTTTTGAAAGATGATACTAGAATGTACTCCGTGTAATTACGTAATACTGAGAGTAAGTTAAATACTCAAACCTTTTTATAATAATTTCACAGTTATGTACTACCTAATTAAAAGGATATTTCAATGGGCTCATTATTGATGTACTTCACTCAGAACACATTGTGCATTTTTTAGTGACATTTCCAATTCTTATTCATGTTTTCTTTAAAATCATCGTATTCAGAGTTTTCATAAGAACTATTTAAGGAGACAAAGAATTTTCTACTTAATTTGTTTAGCTAACTACTGGTAATTTTTGTTTTACATTTGGAAATGTGAACATTTGGGTCTAACTTATTCCGAGCAGAATTTTGTGGTTGAAAATTAATAATTACGGTAGACTGTTAAAATTTTCGCTTCATTTATAACTGTATCGATATACTCTAAATAGCAAAAAAATCGTTTTTTTTTCTTTAAAGATGCTTTTATATAAATTATAGTAAGTGAAAAAGCTGGTATTAATTTTCCCATTCAACGATTGTGGCTTCAACTCTGTACAAGCTCCAATAGATATACGAATTATGAAATCAATATCAACTAAAATGGATATTTCACTAGTTGAAATCATGAGTCAATTGAAGGTAGACCACCATGGAAAACCTGGAAGCACTGGATGGCCGTTTCGTCCTAGTATGGGACTCCTCAGTAGTGCACATCCACGATCCCGCCCCCCGCGAGATTCGGACCCAGGATCTATCAGCCTTGCTCTAGATGCCTAACCAACTAGACCATTGAGCCGGCATCCAACGATGTTAATATCTAACTTCAATCAATCCACGGATATCTCAACTTTATCGAATCTTGGAACAAAATTCACTGCGATATGAAAACAGACGGGATTTGACATGTTTAAAACAACTATTTTCTTTCAAAGTATTAACTCAACCTGATTTGAAATCAGTTTTTTAAGGTCTGGTGTTGATTTATTTGTGATAGCTCATTTGCGATGGGGAATTTTCTTCGAACACTTACTGTCCGAAAGAAGAATAAATACTAAACATTTACTGGAATCATATGCCTGTTCTATTCTAAATAATGGAGTTAACTGCCGTTATTAGTATAATCTAAAATTGACATAAAAAACTATTTAGATCGATCCAACTTATGAATATTTTTTTAAATATCAGAAGGGGTTTTTTGTGGTCTTGTGTTCGAATCTCCCGAGGCGGGATAGTGGATGTGCACTGCTGAGGAGTTCCACAATTTTTCCTTTATTTTTATATTAATTATAATAATAAGGTTCGCATTGATCAAAAAAATTTCCATAATATGTGTTTATTTATTACATCAATAGTGAGTTTCAATCTTCCTGCCGTTGAAATAAACGAGACTAATATTAAGCTACCAAGAAATTGGATTTTAATGACAAACCTCAATGTACAATAAATTGTAAATCAGTTACAATTGCATCTGAAAATATATGGACATAAAACGAATTTTATATATCTTTAACATTTAAATTCACTAATTCATAAGATAAATATCATTGTGAACCGACATAAAACCATCCAGTATCTAATAAAGGTGGTAGATAGTTAATTTGAACGATCTTGATTATTTCAATCTGAATTTATTCGAATTGAGAATATGTCTTTGTTTAATGATGTAAACTGTCATTGTTGTCAATACACTAATTTGTGTATACTTACAAAGCCACACCACAGTAAAGTGAAAGCCAACCAATACATGTAAAATTCTACTGTCAGGTTTGTATATGTAGTAGTTCAGGAACTACTACATCAGTAAGTCATTCAAGATATTTTCTTCCTGTTTCTCACGAAATGCATTTTTCTCCTTTAAACACACATCAAGAAAGATTGTTAAATAAGCAAAGATATATAATGACTAGCAGTGGAGTCCAAGACGCGCGTTTCGTCCCATTTGGGACACGTCAGCTGGATGCACTTGCATCCCTGAGTTGATGTTCACTCTGGGACTTAAACTCAGTACCGTTCGCTTCAAACGCCATCGTGTTATCTACTTAGCTACTGAGTCCTGATAGCCACTTGCTTGTGTAATGGGGTGATGTTTAAATTCACTTGATATTATTTACTTGTATCTTCCTATTGTTGTTTGTGACTGCAGTTGATCAGACTCTTATTAACATATGTGCGTCCTTGATTCCACTGCTGGCCACTATCCATCTTTGCTTATAATGCTTGTGAATTAAGGTAATATCGAGGCAATCCGCACAGGATGCACAATGCTAATATGAGACTGATCGATTGCAGATTCAAGCAAGCAATACCAAATGAATTTAAGATAGTTAAATGTTTGCGATTTCAGGAGATAAGCATTGTAATACAGTTTACTATCAAGGTTCCATTTCTCAAAGATTCACATAATATTTAAAATGTAAATCGAGTACCTAAACTTAGAAGTAACATCGTAATGCGATGTTATAAAAGATAAAAATTTACGTACGCTATGTTCGTAACTCATTTACTCTATCATTACTCGAATATGGCATCAATAAAAGAACATATTCATTATATATTCAGTACTACTTGACTCTCATTCATTGTTTGTTTGTTTTCAATATAAATTAACATGTTTTTGAAAATCTCGATTAACCTATTTAGTAACACTGTGGGAATTAGTTCTTTTAACATCGGTTTACTTTCCGTACTCAACTCATTTACATTTCACGTCTAGTTGTAAAAGAATAACGTATCCATTATCTTGCTGTTTATCAAGTAATCATTTTAACTTGTATTTCATTCCCTTAAAACCAACAAGTTTGAGTAATGATAAAATTTAATTTCTAAACGAATGAAAGAACAAAGACCAGGTATACAATGTAAAGTGAATGGATCTTTCCTTCAATCAAATAGCATTTCACAAGTGTAGACATTAAATTCATGTTGCCCTACTAATCACTTTCATCCCTCTTTTTATTTCATTCCTATTCGCTTCCAATCTATGACTTAGTTTTTCTTTCTGTTAAATTTAATTTCCATCTGTCTTTCTCTTGTTCTCTTATCTAGGTAATAATAAATGATAAACGAACAGGCAAGTTATTTAGAATGAAAACACTTTTTTTTTTCAGAAATTAGAACAAAATAATGTTTTACAAACAGAAGTATGATTCTGCACATATAGAATCATAACACCCGTTCAATTTAATTCATTACACAATTATTTACCTGTCTGAAATATTTCCACATCTTTGACTTGTCTCTTTTCCTATAAAAGTCTCCATGAATAATAAATAATGGTACGAATAAAATGCATTTGAGATTTTCTTATAAAAGATTTTATTCATCTTATTATAGAATACTCAATAGACACTATACAAGACTATGTTCCGGATTTTGTGGTAAGTTTTTTATCATTCAATTGTTGCTTACAAAAGTTTTTATTGTTCCATGTACTCATAACTATAAATGGTCAGCTATTAAAATGAGACATAACTAAAAATAGTGAGATATGTAAACAGTTATTCATTCGGTATTTAATTAAAAAGAAATGTCATAATGAATTGACCGATGAAGAATGTTAATTGGAATCGATAACCGATAAATAATAGCTTTATCCCATTATAAGGTTAAAACATATTTGTGTTTGTGATTGTCTTAAAATCATAAAAAGTTTCACTTTTCTAGCTAAAGCGTATAAAGCAATCTGAAGCCATGTAAATTAGACCGTACGAGATATTGTCCGTGAGTCTTTTAAATCGACATAATTTTAACACCTCCCAAGTATTTTAGATACACAATATACGTTAATTCCAGTTAATAGTTATCGCTTGTCTTAATCATTAAAGTCGGAAAAAGAATTTATGGAACTATGGTATGATGGTTGTTGTTATCGTAGCATAATTCAAGATAGTTTTTTCATAACTATCAGAACATTATAGACAAATAATTTTTAAATGAATATGTTTGATGCTAGATTGAAGTTCTCTAGAATAAGTCAACCTACAATAAACATTTGACGACGAAAAACTTTGCGCGAGAGACTAAAAGTTCTGAGTTCAGGTCCCGCGTGCAGGATCGTGGATGAGCACTGGTGAGGAGCCCCATAATAAGACGAAAAGGCCGTTCAGTGCTCCCAGGTTTTTGTTGGTGGTCTAACATTGATTGACTTGTGAATTCAACTTTAAAACAAACTTTTAACTGTTTGCTATATAAATGAGAGTATAAAAACTATCGTTGTTTATTGACTGTCATATATAACCTAATATATATCTGTATTTAGGTGTTGACAGCTAAAATAATAATCTTCCTGAGAGTCAAATAGAACAATCGGCAATTTTATTTAACTTTACCGTGATACCAATCTGCCGAATAGCTCTTAGACAAAATTATAAACATTTTTGTTAGCTATTATCTTAAAGTAATGCCTTTTTCATCTATCTTCAAATAAAACGTGTTATAAATTAAGTTAGTTACTAATCGTTCATTATATTAACTACTACTCTGAACAAAACTGATAGAGAAGTAACATTCCAACAAAACATTTTATGGGAAACATAGAAAATGATAACATTGGAAGAATTTTTCGGCACATGGATTTGAATTTCTTTAAGAACAAAGCAAAGTAAGATAATGATTGTTTAAAAGAATTGAGTGGAAAAATTGCAAAAGACACTGTTGTTTTTTATGAGAAGGGGTTTTGTGGATATTTCAGTAGTTCCAATAGTTGAAATCATGAGTCAAATGAAGCTAGACCACCATGGAAAACCTGGAAGCACTGGACGGCCTTTTCGTCCCAGTATAGGACTTCTCAGTAGTGCGTATCCACGATCTCGTCCCCGTGTAGTGTAAAACATTTTAAATTCCTTAACAAACGTAAACATTTTTGAACTCTTCACCATACTACTCATCACAAAAGATTTCACGAAGCGAATGCTTTCATACCCAATGGCATGGAACAGTTTTACAGTTTACATTGGGAACATTAAAATACTACTTATATGAAAATCTATTCAGAATATCTCAGCGTATGAAAAAAATTTCATTTTAACATTAATCAATATACTTGAAATTTAGCATAGTGTATTCATAAAACACATTGAGCTATTAAAAATATTACATTTTTGTAAAGTTACTGAGTTTAGTTTCTGTAATGATAGAAAATCAAATTGGACTGTAGCAAAGTGGATATCTTATGTAGTTCACATTTTTATTAAAATAAGGTTTACTAAAGTTATGTCTTTATGATAAAGTATTAAGAAACCTATGGGTTTTTTTCAAATAATCGTTTGAATTCATAAACAGAACAAAAACTGTGTCGATAACAGTTAACTAATGTGATATTCATCCTTGGTAGGTATGGTAGATATATATTGTTTATAATGTAAACCAATTATTGATCCATTTAAAATCATCAGTCTTATATTTATGTACAGATGAAAGTATTTGTACTATATATGACTATTTTATTTTAAAAAGTTTTATAAATGATCTGAAGTTATTCAGTAGCTCACTAAAACATAACAACTCTTCCAATGACGCTTCGTGGTATTGGAACAATAGTCCATTGAATTTGAGTTTCACACAATTGGAAACATACATGAATTTACAGTAAATCTTCCAAACCTACCTGTTCAACCCTAAGAACATATTATATCAAAGAGGGATATTGAGTAAACAAACAAGTTAAAATGACTTTTTGACAAACGAATTGAAATTCACTCTATCATGTGCCTTAGTGCTTTGTTTGTACCCTCATTGTCTTGATCATAAGAAACGTTTGACAGTATGATTAAGAAATAAATGCTTAAATACCTACACAAGTAGTTTACATTCATGTTTAATTACAACAATTTATATTCTTTTAACTTCGTATAGGATGTTTTTTCCTGGGCAAAAATACTGACTATGGCACAACAGTTTCAAAAAAGTTATAAAAATAAATGTTTTTAGAGTAAACGATTATAAAAAATTATGAATAACAGAGGCTTATGCAGAACCATAATTGATCGGACTAAATGGAAAAAATTATCTTTCGAAAAAAGAAGAGTTAAAATTAGAAGAGTTAGTTTTTCACTACTAATTTTAAGAGAATCACTTCCATTTTTTAATATAAAGATAACTGTGTTCATGATTAAAGTTGAATCACATACTTGTCAAATGTATTTCATATATACGTTCTGGTACCCTTAAACTCCTTCTAGCATGAAACTTCTATTGGCTAATATATCATTATTCAAACGGTAAGCATTATTCAATGACATTTATCTGTGTAATCCTTTGAACTACATAATCCTTCAGATTGGAAAAGTAATTGAAACGATATAAAGTTCTATTCGTAACTGATTGATGCTAAATGAACGTATTTTGATAATCGATACTGAAGTTGCATTTACGCTAGACTTTGGTAACCGTTGTAAGATTTGATTTATACAAATACGTGTTCTCAAAATTATTTGAGTTTTGTAACTCGGAATTGAGGGGAGCAAGTTGTGGTGTGGCACAGCTTATCTTAAGAATAAATCGACACACTCATTTTGATCGGTAACTGAAGTGTGCTACTGTTGATCTAAGTTGTGACCTTTCGTATTCGTGTTATCCCCATAGAACACTTCAAGGTCATTAAGAAATAGTCCTTGGTTTACCTTGTCTCGCTATGTATTTTAGTAGTGTTTACTCTCTTCCTACTTCGGTGCATTTGTCATCGTTGAAGTTTGTTTGTGCATAAAGATCAAATTAATCTTGTGACGCTTGATTAACTAACATTTTTATAGTATCTTCGATCATGTTGTCTTAGAACGCTAAACTTTAAACATTACAAAATATATTCCTGTTTATGATAAAATCATGAATAAGTGTTACAGAACTTATTTTCATTAGGTGGAAATATGAGCTTTACCAGTAACAGGCACTTTTGGGACCACCATATATGTATGGTTAACTATATATGCTATCTCAATACTCTGTAGGCTCTAAAATTCATTAGACAACAACCTAATCATACAAGAAAATTAGCTGATAGTGATGTTACCATTGATTTTATGTCGGTGAAATCATTTGCAAACACAAAGTAAAATGACTTCTGATATTATGCTTTGAAATTCTATTGTTTACAATTGAGCACAGTGTAAAATCTTATTTGTTCTTTAAACTAAAGCACCATCACTTTAGAACAGTCATTATAATTAATCATTTATCCTCAACTTACTTTGTTGATAAGTCAAAAACTATTAGGATTTCATGCTGATTAAAAACTGATTCTTGCTTTTATGTACTAGATTTAGAAATCACCATTATAGGCGGTTTATATATAGATTTTCAGGAGTAAAAACATAAACTACTAGACAATAAATCAGTATTATTTTACAATAGCGAACACAATTCATTTTAAGGGAGCACAGTTGACAGAATAACCCTTTGGTTAACTTAATTTTGTAGAAAATTCTAAAACTCATGTATCTCGGTATCAAAAAAACATTTATTTATTATCCTTACAATCAAGAGTATTCATCTTCAACTCTCGGACTACTTTTAATAAATACTAGTGTTGTAAGAATTTAGGTGTATACTAAGAAGAAGTTTTTGGATAAGCTTGAACGACTATTCGGTAATCTACAGATTTTCTTATTTTTTCAAATGATATATCATAGTAAGAATAGCCTCCAAAGCTGAACAATCCCTATAAAACTTAACTAGATTACTAAATAAGTTTGCTTTTACTTAAATTGTTAAAAATAATGTCTCGAGTTTTCACCATAGAAACGGAATACGATTTTCACATTTTACTAAAGCTTAAATATATAACACATTACATAACACGAAATTATTTTCACTAATTTTTCTAAGATCAGAAATTAAAATAATTTTTACCGTCAGTGACCCCCATTTGATTTAATATGTGAAATGTGTTATAAGGTCGTGTTAATGCAATCTGATCGGTAAACCATAAAATAATTAATTATTCATTTTCGAAGTCATTTTCCTTGAAAGATCAAACTACAATTCAATGTATTCCGTAAAACAAAACTTGTCATTTACAATGAGTACTGCCTTTAGATCATGTTCCTCCTACAGTTGTATTATTCTTTATACTATCTTATCAAGTACTAACAACTGAAAAGCAGATAAAAATATTATTTCAACACTACCTTGAAACAATACACAAATTCCATTTTGCGCATGTGTCCTAAAAGTAACAGATGTTTATTTATTCTATTGCTAACATTTAATGTATTAGATTGTATGTTAAACAAAGCAATTGAAATCAGTGCATTCCCTTCTTAGTAAGGAAGCCTCATTTTAGCTATATAATTTTAACTGTTTCTTTAAACTTACCGCGACTTTAGAGAATCTTCGAATCCAAAAACGTCTATCCGTTCGCCAAAACTAACAGACTATCCAC